TTTCTGGAACGTACCAACAAATTATAGTGATGCTGAGGGATGGAGCAAAGATGGCATTCCCCTAGTCTATGTTCCCTAAGGACCTCTGAGGCCTCTAGATATATGGCAAACCTGATGTCTGCCCCTCAGGCTAAAGCTCCAGGGCAAGTAAATAGGCTTTATTCACAGAAAGATTGGGAGTATGTTTCAGTCTTTATAGTACCCTGAAGTTGGTAACCTGCCAAAAACTATTTTTCTGATAGTTACAGTTCTATGGGATCCAGGTTTACAATCTCCATGGCTACTAGAGCCAGGCAATCAAGGAATGTCCTCTCTATGGACTGCATTCTCCCACAGGCTTTCACAAGGAAGTGGAGAGCACAGAGTTGGAGTGTGCCCACTGGCTTTTGTGGGGTCATGGGAGAGTGCAGGACCAGGGTTTGTCTGATAGCACTCTCGAGGTAGATGAAAAGTGCAAAAAGAACCCCTGCCCACAACTCCGTTCCTGGAGACACCTAACAGGTCCCTGCCCCTCCAGCAGATGCTTTAAGATTATCAAATGAATTTCCTTCGCTATAGTCTAGGTGCTTTTCAAACTGTTGCTTTTGAGACTGTCTCCAGGAGGAGTGAGTCTGCCAGTGAGTGCTCCAAAAGAAGTATCTCAGTTCCCTCCAGGCTTTTAGGTTTCATGAGCCCCATTGGTCTTCCAAGCCAGACATTTTGGTGGCTCATCTCGCAATTGCAGATCTCTAGTGCTTCAGTGCCTGATGAGGGCATCAACCTCTCACTCCTCAGGGAGAAGCTCTGTATTTGTGAAATCTATCCTGATTGTGGGTTGCCATGCCAAGGGTGAGGTTTTTGGCAAGACCACATTTTTGCTCCTCCATTGTGGCCCTCTAACCATTTGTTGTGAAGGAGGTATTCAGCTGGTTTTCAGGTCCTTTTCACAAGGAATTATTCCATATGTAGCTGAAGATTTGGTGTTTCTGTGGAAGGAGATATATTTCAGGATCTTCCTACACCACCATCTTGGACCACCCCTAAATACATATCCCTTTAAAAAGCAGAAAATCACAGAAACAGATATGCTTCCATTACTTTTCCTGTTTGAGAATCAGGACTGTCAATGTTCCAACAATATTCTACTTAACAAGATATTCAATAAGACATGTAAAATAGAATGAGCTAAAAATAAACCCTTCCACAATTGTATTCATTCATCATTTAATCAGTAATACGTTCAATGGTGTCAAGCTTTGTTCTAGCCTTGTGATTCACCACTGAGCAAAACAGACAAACTATCCCTTGCCCTAGTGAAGCTCACATTCTAGTGTTTAATGTCAGATAGAGAACCATAAACATAATAAATTAACAAATTATGTGCATAAAGTGATAGTGCCAGGAAAACTGGATCAGATTTATGAGCATGATGTGTTTTAGAGGGAGATTGCAACTTGAAAAGAATTAGAGAGAAAAAAAAGCTTCATTGAGAAGGTAACATTTAAGAAAAGGTTTAAAATAACAGTGGGAGTGATCCATCAGGAATGTCTGACATAAGAGTGCTTCAGGTAGAGGAATGAGCCAGTACAAAGCCTCAGAGTTGGGAGCATGCCTGCCATGTCACAACAACAAAAAAGGAGAGGACTATAGCTGGAGTAGAGTGAGCTAGACAAATAGTAGAAAGCATTAAGATCAGAGAGGGAATGGAGGTCGGATCACATTGGGCCTTGATTGTCATAGTAAGAAATTTGTCTTTTATTTGGAAAGAAATGAGAAGTCATAGATGGGTTTTGGTCAGAGGAGTGACAAGACTTGGTTTCCCTTATATCAAGGTGCTCTGACTACACTTTTAAGAATAGACCAGGTGGAGGCATGGGTTCCACTTAGGAGTTCATACTAGTTACAATAGTCTAGGTTATGTTGATGTACCAAACAATCCTGTAACTTCACTAAAGCACCCCAATAAATTTTACTTCTCACACATTTATGCCCTACACAGGTTTACAGGGTCCTCTGCTTATCATGGCCATTAAGAAGCTCACACCAGAAGGAGCTGTATCTTGGTGACTTCTACAGGATATAAGATAGAAAAGGGTATGTGGCAAAACACACATCAGTTCTCAAACATTCTTGTGTCACTGCCATTTACATATTACTAGCCAAAGCAAGGCACACTGTCATGTCTAAGTTCAAAAGGAATAGAGAAGAACAATCCTATCACGGGCCTAGAAGAAGAAAAATATCACAGAGAATACTGCAAAAACTCCACAACAGGTGATGGTGTCTTGAACTAGGGTGAGAGTGGTTGAAGTGGTGAGAAATCATTGGATTTTGGACATTCTTGGAATATACAGCCATGGGAATTCCTGACAAATGGAATATTAAATGTAAGAGAAAGAGAAGAGATAGGAGTGATGGCTTTGGGGATAAACAACTAGAAAGAAAGAGTTGCTGTAACTGAGATCAAGGAAACTGAACATTAAGAAGAATTTGGAGGGACTACGGTATTAAGTTTAGACATTCAAGTGGAGAGTTCAAATAAGCCACAGAACACAAAAGCCGAGGAGTGCAAGGGAGATAGATGTCTGCATTGGAGACAAAAAAGAAGGAAAATCACAGTGTGTAGGTGACATTTACAGCTAGAAGATCGGATGAGAACACCAAGAGAGTTGATAGAGGTCCAAAGACAGAGCTGTTTCACCAGACGCTACAAGATTGTAGATTTTAATATCTGAAATCAGAACTTAATAGTGTTTCTCTAGATATATTTGATATAGATAAGTCTACACCGATATCCATGTTTATCAGACTTGAGTGTACTTGGAAATATCCACACATTTCCTGTAATGAAGTGATATATTTGAAGTATACAGCAACTATTACTGATCCAGCACAAAGAATGTTTGCTAGTAGACAGCAGTTGTAACATTAATTCCTAACTTCCATTCCAGAGCCCCACTATCTAACTCAACTTCACTTCCACAGGCAGCATTATTATTTGCTTTCTTATTTTATGTCACACGGTACCAAAAACATATTATAGAATTTGTTATTTTATGCATTTTATTTTTCTCCAAATTTTTATTTAAATTCTAGTTAGTTACATGCATATGTTTTAAATGCCTTTTTCCCTCATAAAACACTAAGTTCAGAGCATCCTTATAATATTTTTGTAAGAATATGAAGCAGAGGTCTTGAAATAGAGAAGAATCTTAAAATAAGAATATTGGGAAAATACATTAAAAATAATTATGATAACCACATAAACTAGGACTTTTAGCAATTGTCTTAATCCTATTTGACTTAATAATTGATTATATACCAAATAATTCTTAGTTTTTTTAGAAGATTTTATTTATTCATTTGAGAGAGAGAGACAGAGAGAGCACAAACAGGGGGAGAGGCAGAAGAAGAGGGAGAAGCAGACTCCTGTCCAAGCTAGGAGTCCAACATGGGGCTCAATCCCAGGACCCAGGATCCCATGGGGCTCATGACCTGAACTGAAGGCAGGCGCTTAACCATCTGAGCCACCCAGGCATCCCAACTTTAAAATTTTTAAAGAAAAACTGAAACAACTTCTCAGTGTTTTACTAGGCTAAAATTTTAAGTACAATAAAAAGAGGAAAGTATACAATTAACTGCTTTGCATCAGGATACCCTGCTAGGTGTGAGCTCCTTCAGGGACCATATGCCATTCACCAATAACATAAGCACAGCACATATGACATAGGAAGCATATGATTATTTTATTCAACCAACATTTTTGAGAATCTATTTTGTGACAGGTCTTGCCCAAAGATAGGGGAATAGAGAAATAAACTGGCAGATTATGTGTTATTGTTTATAGTTCATATTCCAGCAGAAGATACAGTAGATAAACACATACTTAAGTTATAGTTTCAGGTTAACGCTAAATGGCATACACAAAATTAAAGCCAGATGCAAGAATGCAGAGTGAGGGGAAGGGAGAGATTAGGTAGCAGGAGTGCTGGGGGATGATGTCACCTTTTGGAGATGATAACAAAGGAAAAGAGACAAGAATAATATAAAGGAACCAGCCATATAGAGATTAAGGAGAAACCATTCCTTATTAAAAACAACAAGAATTGTAAAGATCTGTGAACAGGAATGACCTTTGTGGGTTCAAGAATAGTAAGGCCAGAGAAAGTGAATCCGAGTCAGGAGGCAAACAAAAGGTAGAAGATAGGGTCAGGGACTTTGGCAGAGGTCATATTAAGTAGAGCCTTATAACCTAGAGAACCTGGAATTTGCTCTGTGATAGAAAGCCACTGAATGGTTTTGAACAAGGTAGGGATAGGATTTGATTTATGTTTCCAAAAGATTACTTTGGATTCTGTGTAAGACATAGGTAGTAAATCAGGTGAAATTTCAAAGACCAGTTTGTTAATAGGTTTTAAAAGTAATTTGGGAAAGAGATGATAATGTTTAGACTAGTAGCAGTAGAGAGAATTAGAAGAAGTCATATTTGAAAGCTTATGGCTAAGCTTACAGACAGTAAGCTACCAGCTCACAGATGGCTGAGCAACTAGTTGGTTGATAGACTGCGTGTGCAATTTCAGAGAATGAGACAGCAAGGATAAATCCTGGGGCTTTGGTATCACCCACTGATACAGAGAATATTAGAGGAGTAGGCTTTTGAGTCAGGAAGTCAATTTTGACTATGTTAAGCTGGACATGCTGAATTCACACTTAAATTAAGATGTTTAGAAGTGGAAATATCAAATTATGAATTCAATATATACATTTGAGGGTTGTCAGTGTATAAAATGAATTCAAATCCATGCGAATGTGTATAGTCAACTCAAAAGAGAGAAGAAAAGATCTGAGAGTGAGCACATAAAATTTGGGGAATTGGAGACTAAGTCATTAATTAGACTGAATAGGATTCATTAAGAAGGAAAAAAGCCAGTAGGGGTTTTTATTTGGGAATCCACAAAAGAAAAGTTTTCATGAAAGAAGGAATAGTGTATTGTATAAAATGATTCTTAACATCGAGCTCCAGAGCAGAGTACGAACTGCGGCGGTCGGCGTCATGGCAGGGCAGGCGTTTAGAAAGTTTCTTCCCCTCTTTGACCGAGTTTTAGTTGAAAGGAGCGCAGCTGAAACTGTACCCAAAGGAGGTATTATGCTTCCAGAAAAATCTCAAGGAAAAGTGTTGCAAGCAACAGTAGTAGCTGTTGGATCGGGCTCTAAAGGAAAGGGTGGAGAGATTCAACCAGTTAGTGTGAAAGTTGGAGATAAAGTTCTTCTCCCAGAATATGGAGGCACCAAAGTAGTTCTAGATGACAAGGATTATTTCTTATTTAGAGATGGTGACATTCTCGGAAAGTATGTGGACTGAAATCATTATTAAAATGGCATGAAGTGAAGCTGCCCATTCCAGTGAAGTTGTGAAATCTTTCATCATGTAAATAATTTTCATGTCTCTCTTTTATAATAAACTAATGGTATCCAAACTAAAAAAAAAAAAAAAAAATGATTCTTAACATCATGTTTGTTGGTTAACATTAATCAATGCGGTTGGCCAGTGAAGGTTCTGGTAACATTAACAACAGTAATTTTTTGGGGCGCCTGGGTGGCTCAGTTGGTTAAGCGACTGCTTTCGGCTCAGGTCATGATGCTGGAGTCCCGGGATCAAGTCCCGCATCGGGCTCCCTGCTCGGCAGGGAGTCTGCTTCTCCCTCTGACCCTCCTCCCTCTCATGCTCTCTGTCTCTCATTCTCTCTCTCTCAAATAAATAAATAAAATCTTTAAAAAAATAGTAATTTCTTACTAGTATTTAACTTCTCAGTCAAAATTAGTATTTGTGTCATAAAAAGGACAGGCAGATGTGAAGGTGGTAGCAACCAGTTATCTGAGGGCCCAGTGTATCAAAGAGGTTTTTGTTAGTGTAAGTCGGAAACATTTCTATAGACCTGATTGTAACGTGGAAAAGCAGGATATGTGAGTGCAGATTCATTGACATATTTGTTCATGGAAAGATGAGCAGGTCTGTTTTTATTTCTTCTATTTTCTCAGTGGGAAAAAAAAAAAAAGTCACCAGCATTAAGAGAGAAAGGAAAGGTGTTAGGAGAAAGAAAAAAGGTGCAAAATAGTCTTTTGAGGAATGATGAGCAGTGTGACTATACAAATGTGAACTTCTATACAAACTAATCTACATGATTAGGGAATAAATCTATAGAGGACTGAGAGCAACAACTGTATTGGATTTGATGGGGTCTCCAAATAAACATGATAACAATTAAAAAAGAAAAAACAGCAACAAACCCATTTGAAAAACAACAACAACAACAACAACTGATTTTTAAAAAATAAATCGAGAGTGTGAAGAGTCCAGTGCAGCTTTCCCAAACAAACGATATTTTGTTTGATGAAATGAAAATAGGTTTCTATAAAGAGGTATCAATGGTCACATAAGTGTGAGACTTAGCCAAACTGACATAAAGTTTGGTTGACAGTTTGTTGCTTTATTTCATATTTTTATTCAGGACCTATCAGAGCCAATAAGCTATTGGATATTGTGAATCTGGTGATTTTGAATGTTGTATTTGAGGATATCCTTTTTTGTGGAGGGAGGGGAACACTGGCAAATCTGATTATTTTCCTTTCTCCAATGCACAGTCACCGTGGTAAATATTTACAGCTCCCCTTGGGGAAAGCTAGGAGAAAGATTAAGGTATGCATTCCAGTGTAATTTTGAGAATACAGTTTGGGAGGATCTGCCCTGTTACTTCTGAATTTCAAATATTTTAACACATTCCCTTTTCATTTTACTTCCCCTCCATGGCTGTTTTACATTATACTTTATACCCTCCCCTGTTTCGCCTTAGATTAATAAGGTGTTACAAGATTTATATTGTGATATATGCACAGCTAATACATCACTTTTCCTATGGCAATCAGGCACTAACCACCTGCTGTTTTATTGATTGTAATATTATACGTAACTATGGAAGAAGTAGAAACAGCTTGTCTATTTGAATATTATCTTAGATTTCAAAGAATGCTTTCCTCTGAAGAGTGTTACATTTTAAGTAAACACAAATAAAAAAAAGCAAAACAGCCAAAATTTCCAGTTGCTTCAAGGTGTTGCTAAAGACAAGGAACTTGAGTAAAATGCACCACATTGTTGATGGTAGCAGAAGAGAAAATGTGCAAAGTTGAGAATGCTATTTTCATAATCAGAGGCAGGCAAAGACAAAAAGAAAATCTAATTGCATCATTTTGAGAGATGGCTAACCAAAACCTTCCTGTGCATTCATAAGATTTCTCTCCTGTTTTAGTGCATACAACTGAGGTTGCTGAAATTCCCATATGCCACTAACTTAATTAATAATTCAGTGTACTTGGGTCTGCAGCCTCATGCCATAGTTAGAACTGACTTTAAGAATGAAGCCAACCCCATTTTGTTGAGTGATTCTCATCTTTACCAACTGGCCTGTGAAATGTAGAAGTGTCACCTGGTCTTCCCCTTGTTAACTGAAAGCATATCACAAGACTCAGGTTGATGTCTAGGGCCCCTCTGCTCTCTGCCCACACAGTGACTATAGTCACATTCTGAGCATAGGGAGTTTGTTTTTATCTAAATGCTCCAAATCCACTGTCTCAAAAAGGGATGACACAGGACAGAAATGTCTTTCATTGAAATGAGCCGAAAGCATTTACATCCATGAGAAAAGCTGTGCTTTGCTAAGGATACTCAGAAATGACTAATTGTGTCTGGTGCCAGGTGCACAAAGCAAATCATTTGATTTGGCTTTCACAGTTTTTAGAGGAAAAATGCATGTTGTATACAAAGAATTAGCATATTGCTTTTCAAGATGTATTTATTGTTTCTGAGGATGATACCTGCTTTCTTTCTATTTATTATTCTAGTTCAATTTCCTTGTATTCTTTTTTTCTCTTTTTTAAATTTCCATATTGAATTATGATCAGAAAAGCAGATGGAATTGCATTTTGCAAAATCCTCTGTTGATTCATATATAAATTCCAAAAAATGTAGAGATTGACTGTCAGGAGATTAGCATTTCTTTCTCAAGATGTTCTTGTTTGATACACTGATAGTGAGATTAATGAGCATCAATCTATGAGACCTCATGAACATATATATTTTACCCCATAAGTTCTTTTGTTAATGCAAGTTCTATAGATACTTGCAATGTTGTTTGTGTTATTCTTCTTTTTAGTTCTTATTTTTATTATCTTGTTATGTCTTTTTTTTTTTTTAATCTCAGATGTGGTATATATTATCTATATAACTCATTCTAATATTTAGTCTATGAAATATTTTTGGATACACTTATTCATTCCTCTGCTTCTTCTACCCTTGTGGTCATTACATCCTAGTCAAACCCAAAATCTGTAGGGTAAATTGTCAGGAAGAGAAGAGTAAAACTCTCAGGCATTAGTCAAAGATGCAGTACACAGAATTTCTTTTTCCAGGAATCCTTAGTTCTGTTCCAAGGGCTATGAACTAACTGAATCAGGCCCACACAGGTGCAGTAAGCTAAGATGATGGCATAATAGGAGGACCCTAGGCTTGCCTCATTCCTTGAACACAGCTAGATAAATATCAGATCATTTTGAATAATCAAGAAATCCACCTGAGGACTGAAAGAACAACCCTCACAACTAGAGGGAGAGAAGGGGCAACATTGAAGAAGGTAGAAGTGCAGAGATATGGTTTGGAGGAGAAACGGATTGCCAGTGCTGTAGAGTAGAGGGAGCTGTGGTCACAGAGACAGGAGAGAGGGGTATGCACAAGGAAAACACTTCCCCAAAGCCACTGACTTGGAAAATGAGAGAGGCTGACTATCATGTATTTTTGCAACAAGTAGGGCTCAAAGACTGGAGTTTTAGATGTCACCAGCTTGGGCTGGAAGAGAGCCCTCAGGGTGCTGCCCGACTCCTGAAGAGAAGTTAGGCAAGCAACCCAGGGCAGATGGCCCAATCTTAGGATTTCATAGGGTACACAGGGAGAGGCTGTTTGCTCTTCTTCGAGCAAATCTGTGAGAGGTGACCTTCACAGAGTTGCCTCTCTGGGACAATCCCATGCCCCTGCACTCTGATATGACTATCTTTCTCAGTCAAACCTGCATCAGTCCCAGCATGGCAAGACTGTGCCCCAGAAGACCAGGCCAGGCCCTTGCCATAACATGTCCCTAAAGTTTGGAGTTTTAAAAGTCAGGAGGCATGTCTGGGGCAGAGCCCAAAGTGCACTGCACTGCTGCTGGAAGGCAAGCAACCCAGAGAGAGACAGCATGAAAACAGAAATCTGAAAAGTGCCTGGGACTCAGAAAGGTAAATCATTTGCTCTTCTGGGAGTGCTTCCCTGAGAGCAGCCAGCACTGAGACCTGACTCTGGGGACAAAGGAGCTGGCTGGCACCATTTCCCTCCCCCACCCCCCAGCATAAGCACAGAACCACCATTGGTAAGCAGCATAGTGCCCATACTGGCTGCCTAAACTGCTTACACCAAATCCTGCCCCCTGTGCTCTGTTGGTGCTGCTTTTCTCTAGCAAATGTGCCTAACGACCAGTGCACTGGGCCCCTTTCCCAGAAGGCCAGCAGAAAACTCTGCACACACCACGTCTGTTGACCATACAGTTCCATAAAGCTTCAGTTCTAGTGGAAGTAACATCAGGTCCCACTTAACAAGAGACCTTAGCATGCCTGGTTAAAACTTGCCCCACTCTGGCTAAGGCACAAACACTGCCCACTGCAGGCAAGGAGAGCCTCTGAAGAGGACTGACCTGGGGGATAAAGGAGCCAAAACACAGGAGAAGAGTGCATGCAACACACACCAGAGACACTCCCTGAAGTGTCAGGCCCTGGACAATATATGCCCTCTTCTTCATAAAGCCATCACACTCAGAGCAGAAAACATAAATGGCTTTTATTTTAAAGATTTTATTTATTTATTTGACAGAGAGAGGAGCACAAGCAGGGACAGTGGCAGGTGTGGGTGGGTGGGGACGGAGAGGAAGAAGCAGGCTCCTTACTGAGCAAGGAGCCTGACATGGAGTTCAATCCCAGGACCCCCGATCATGACCTGAGCTGAATGCAGACGCCTAACACACTGAGCCATCCAAGACCCCCCATAACAAGCTTTCCTAACACAGAGAAGACACAAACTTAGACAAAATGCCAAGATGGAGGAACTCATCCCAAAACAAAGAACAAGAAAAAGTCATGGCCAGGGATCTTAGTGAAACAGATATAAGTAATATGCTTGATGAAGAATTTAAGGCAATGATCATAAGGATACTGGCTGGGCTTGAAAAAAGCATAGAAGACATCAGGGAGACCCTTACCACAGAGATAAAAGAGTTGACCAAAAAAGCAGGTGGAAATGAAAAATATAA